GAGTTCATGTCCTTTGTAGGGACATGGATGCAGCTGGAAACCATCATTCTCAGCAAACTATCACAAGAACAGAAAACCAAATACCACATGTTCTCACTCATAGGTGGGAATTGAACAATGAGAACACTCAGACACAGGAAGGGGAACATCACACACTGGGGCCTGTTGTAGGGTGGGGAGAGGGGGGAGGTTTAGCATTAGGAGATATACCTAATGTAAACAATGAGTTAATGGGTACAGCACACCAACATGGCACATGTATACATATGTAACAAACCTGCACATTGTGCACATGTACTCTAGAACATAAAGTATTATAATAATAATAAAAGACATGTCAACTAAAAAAAAAAGGGGGAATACAGAAATTCCACGTGGACAGAAGAGTTTGAGTAATAGCCACGAAGCAACATGGTACAGAATCTGTTTGGCAATTGTGAAGAGTTTACTTTGGCTGAAGCCTGGGGTAATGGAAGGGAGTGGTATAAAACCAAAGTGCCCAGGTAGCAAGCTCAGCACTTTGACTTTGGGTGTGTTAAATGAAGGGGTTGTGATATTATCAAGATTGCTGTTTTCTATAAGATTTAATTTTCCTAGTTGATGAGATCTGATGATGATAGAATACTGGAGTAATCATAAAGTCACATGTTAGCAGAGACAAGTAGTCTGTTGAGTTCTCACTTGGCACTCTCTGGAAGAAAATACCTAACAGTTTTGTTTTTCCTAAAGGAACATCTTACTTTCCAAGTTAGCTACTCAATCTAATATGAAACATATTAGACAAGAAGGAAGAGAAAGAGAGATATAGTGGTGTGTAATCACTGGTCAGAATGAAGTGCTCAGGTTTCAGATAGTCATGCTTATACCATCACTTGCATTTTAAATTCTGCCCAAAGCATTGGAAACCGGAATCATTGTAGTTACCATAAGAGATAGCATCCAGGAGTCTCTTAAATAATTCTAATAGCCTTAAATAACAGGAACATTTAATTCATGTATTGTTGGTATTGTTAAAACTTTTGATAATATGCATTATGTATTTCTGTATTTCAGATTAAATGATCAAGTCATTATTGTGGATTTAGATCTAAGTGACCTGGCAGAAACCATGGAGATGATCTTGGTAAACTCACCTAAGTTTTAAATTTCCTCACAGAGTTTAATTTTGCCCATGATCTGCAAGAAATATTTTCTCTTTATTTGCAAGGATATTGCTCAAGCTTCTATTTATGAGCCCCTGAACAATAGAATAGACAGCCCTACTGAGACTCTTTTGCCTTTGTGTGGTACAAAGGGACCTCCCTCTAGGAGAAGACAAAAAGAATTTAAGTCTATAACTCATTTAAAAAAATCAAAACAAAGCAAACAAAACAGAAAAACCCCAGCGTTCAATTATTTCTGCTCTCTATTGGAACTGGAGATCCTCCCTTTTAACTGAATTACCATATTCCTGAGCTCAGGAACTGCAGCTATTGTGAAATTTATAATCTGTTTATAGTACCCAACATAGTATTCTTATTCTTAAATAAGTTCCTAAATATTTGTGAAATGATATTTCCCTTAATTCATTCATATTGTGCAGTTAATGGGATTATTTGTCATTGGATATTGACTATAAAAATCAGTGCTGAAAGCCTTTACTAATTATTTATACTAATGTATCATTTAATGTTTATTCTAGCTTCCTATGCAGACAGCCTAGTTAGGTCTGATTGTGTCCATGGGCCTATCTCTATAGAACAGGCAGAGACATTCATGCTAAATAAAATACAATGAAGAAAAGTAATTTTTTTGCATGTTAGTTCTTTGTTTTGCATTTTGTTTCATTGAGTTGTAATGGAAAGACCTTGAAGAGATGAGCTAAAAAAAGGTAGGCCATTCAAAGATATTTTGATTGGAACTGTTGGGCGAGTGGAGAGAAAATGTTGGAACACCTGAGCATTCTCTCTCAGTGGCCTAGTTGAATCCCAGGGAATATTTTGTTCTGAGGGTGATTTAAAGACACTGATAAATAAGGAGACATCCTGTTAAGCTAGTTAAAGTTAGACTGAATAAGAGAGGTTATTTTGGTACTAATTTGGGATAGTTGAGTAGTGATGGTGAGCCCGATAAGGCAGGGTAGCTCTCAGTACTCACTCGGCCATTGGTACCAAAGGAAAATCAAAGGAGGCAAAAATGCCATGTTATTAAACATGTTTTAGGAGCTAAGCAGGTCTGGAGACTCATCACAGCCACCTGAGCCCATAAATTATTAAACATGACATCTATGCTATTTATCAACACAGGAAAAAGGTACAAATGGTTTCTTTAAAAAATGCACAGACATTACATGGAGACATATATTTTTCCAAACCAGTGCTTATCTTGAGATAGTTTAGAACTGTCAACAAACTACTTTAATGAGGCTGCTTTTTGAGGGAAAACAAGCTCAGTAAATCACTCTGTTTTTCTTTGTTTTTTTCATCCCGCATGTAAAATTTTAACCACATTTGACAGAGGAAGTGAATCTCTGGGCCAAAATACTCGACAATTTTCTTATCCACAGATAGAGGTAAATGGCAACTATAGCTCATCAGTGACAGCATTAGTCATTGTGATTTGTTTTTAACTTGTTACAGAGTGAAATAACACTGGTAAGTTCTGGAAGGTGTTTCATAGTGTTCCAAAATGTGTCATCCCTGTGCACATGCATTTGTTTCAAGGATGTAAAGAGGAAAAACTCAAAGCAATGTGTGTTCTGATCAAGAAATGACTGGAAAAGGCAGCTACCTGATATGGAACAGTCAAGAACTGAAAGTTTATTTGGAATGAGAGGTGTTGTCCAACTGCGAGACTGAGTGATTTAAGCTGAGAATAAATGGGAACATAATCAATAGTCACTCCAGGTAGGCAGTTACTGACAGCTGTCTTGAAAGTTTCATCTCTCTTCTCTTTTTGCGGCCATGTTTACACTGCATCCACAGATTGTGATATTGTTTATGAGGGACAGAAAAAGTCCTTCCATTTATTCTTGTTCTTAATGAAAACTTCTGAGTTGTTATGCTTTGAAATTACAATGATAAAGTGGCTCTTTGAGAATAAAAGATTCAATATATTACAATTGAGAATAAAATATTTAATATATTACAAAGCCAGCTTGTATGTTGGACAGGTAAGCATGCCTCCTGGTTAAGTATTCTTTATTACATGTTTCCTCTATGGTCAGTCATCAATGTTTATATTAGTTGTTTTCTCTTTTCCATAGTTTTGTGGTTATGGATTAAGTCATTGTATTCTTCCTGGTCTCTACCAATGTAGTTATTTTATTGATATAGACATTAGGAACTACTCAATAAATATGTGTTGCAGGACAAACTATAATTGCAATGTGTCATATTTGGATAATACTTTACAGTTTGCAAAGCACTTTAGCATACTTTATTTAGTTAAACCACACTGCCACACAAATGAACTGTCCAAAATGTATGCTTTTTAAGCCTCCCTATTTTATAGTGATACCTCATATGTCACACACAAATATCATAACATAGAAAGATAGACAGACACATAACTACATAAGCAGTATTCCCTAAACTCATATTTTGTGCTTCATTTAGGATTTCTTACCAGTATAATTTTCATTTGGAAAACCTTTCCTCCTCTTTATATTACAAAAAAGACAATCTGATGATTCAGAAATAGTTTGTTTTTCTTTTTCTGTTTTGGTTCCTGTAACTAAGCAAGACACTGATGAGGCCCATCACAACATGGAGTACAACTGTAAATAAGATGAAGTTCTTGGCTTCTGGGAGATTAAAATCCACTTATTTTCTTCACCCAATCCTCCCCAACTAGCAGTCTCATTAGAGAATGCCATTTTTAAGCACTTATATTAGAACCTTGGGAGGCAAGCTGGAGACTGGGAAGCCTTTACACTTGTTGAAACTCGTCTATGCTTAGATGTAAGGCTCTTTTTCATCTAGTTGCTTTTATAATACAAAAAGCGAGGCCAATTATTCAGAGCATAATCAGCGGGTCCAGGGTATTGAAACACTCCTCTTAACAACAATGTCAAGTTACTTTATTTGTTCATGAAGCACTTGAAAAATGAGAAAGAACAGCAGGTCTTCAAGATAGAACAGAGAAAGAGTTGGCCTCGAGTGTTTTATTACCAAAAGAGGGTGTTAACATGCATAGAAATGTTAAATCTCTACTAAAAAAAAAAAAAAATCAATGAATGACATATCCAGTTGCAGCTCACTCAACCCTGATTTAACAATCATTTGAGATCTTACAAGGGAATGATTCTGAAGAATAAAATGTATTTCAGTTTCACCCGCTGAGTATTAATGCATTTGAAACATTGGAGGGAAGACGTCAAAAGAAAATAGAATATCTGTACTACCACCTACCTTCTCTCAAACATAAAAATATAATGTAGTTGTATGAAAGTAAGTTCTGTAGAACACAACTTTTATTAAAATGTGTATAATCCTGTAGGCTTGAAAAGTGCAGATACTGCCATAAGATAAACTGATAATATCACTGCTTAGTATTCATACAGCATTTTTCTTTTCAGAACCCGGAAGCAATTTATGGATCTAACTTAGTCTTCATGTGTAGACATTTGGCATCTTAGTCAGTGTGCTTTAACAAGTCAAGAGATCTGGAAAGTGACCAGGTCTCACCGTAGGTGAAGTTTTTAGCAATTTGACTAACTTCAGTTTCTTATTGTGAGCCTGAAAAATAACAGGGGAATGGTCCCCAAACCTAGGGAAATGAGGCACCTGGGCAGTGTCTCCATGAAGTGTTGCTACATGTGTCTAGGACACCATTAAAAGCCCCAGCCCTGACATTCCTATACTCCATTGAATGCTCTCTGTAACAAATTAAAAGGGATGACTTTAATTGAATCACTTCATTGAAGGGTCCAGTGACTTTTACTCAGAAATGGCAGAGGGTTTGTTCCAAAATGACATCTGGTGAAGAGACTGCGTAAGACTCTCTGGCATTATAGTAATATTTTATTTAATAATATTCTATTGAAGCATTTATATTTCACATCAAGGTTTTTGTTTTAGGGATGAGATACTGTACTAAAGTACAATGGAGTTCTTAGGATATTAGGCTTTATGCAAGATAAAGCACATTGTTGCCACAGGGATCAGTAAATAGTCCTGGTCTGTGACACTAGTTCCCACTGCTAAGACATGGATGGGAGAAGGTGGTTCCCACAGACTGTTTTCTCTAGATAAAAATACAGTGCAGTTTCTATTTAAGGGCAATTTTTAAAAATTCTCAGTCATTTGACCCAAAAGGAACATACCCTATCATTTTCTGAACAATTGAGCAGTGAGCCCGCTTCTAATATTCTGAGATTATATTTGTATGCAGTATTAATTATGCTCATGCTCTGTCATGTCAATGGTGTTGTTGCAACTGCAGTTATTTTTTTTTTTTTTCTCTTGAGACAGGGTTTTTTTCTGTTGCCCAGGATGGAGTGCAGTGGCAAGATCACAGCAGCCTCAACCTGCAAGTGATTCTCTCACCTCAATCTCCCAGTAGCTGGGGCTACAGACACATGCCTCCATGCCTGGTTAATTTAAAAAAAAAAAAAAAATGTAAAGACAGCATCTCACTAGGTTGCCCAGGCTTGCAGCTTTTTAAAAAAATTGTGTTTTTTTCACATGGTCTTAAGAAAGAAATTGCTTGTGAAGATTCATGCATGACAGACTCAAATTACTTTTTAACAACATACAATATATACTTAATACATTGAAGGTAACTTTAAAAAAGTTGTTTTGGTTTGCGAAGCATTACTCCAAGTGATGGTTATGAACTTGAATTCTATGAATACTGCTTTTATCATCTCTAGTAAGGAAATTCAAAGCATTACATTTCTCCTAGTGCTCATTATTAAATAATATGTCAACATAAATATAATTGGCCCTTACATTTGTAGGATGCTGTATAGTTTCCAAAGTGATTTTACCACCAATAATTTTGCCTGACTTACTTCACAAACCTGTGAAATAGGCAGGTCTAGTAATTATTTACTAGTCTCCATGTGTATGAGGAGATTAAGGATCAAAAAGGCTAAAATGCCTGCTTAAAGCCAAATAGATAATAAGTATATAATTGAGTACTAGGCCCCACAATGAAAATACTGTCTCTACTATGGTATTAGGAAAATGGCATACTACTCATGCAATTACTCTTATAAACTCTATCATTGTATCATAAAGGCTTTTGGATTTAATTCTATGACAATACCAAAGCATCATCAAAATTACTGTCTGAAATTTCTGTTGAACTAAATAGCAGTTAAGTAAAATGATCCATTGACTAGGGTTGATTATCGTCATAATCCAGTAAATGGTATTCATTTTAATAAGATTTCATACACATCAAAAAGAATTAATTTTGAGTTCATCTTAAATTCTGACCAAAGCAAGTTTTATTTTTCCACTTACAAGCTACGTTTGCTGCTTTTATTTTTCCTCCAATCACCTCTTGTAGCTTGCCAGCCTTAGTAAGTTTATCATTGCACTCTACCTGCCTTTTTGCATTACTTTGATGAATGTAAAGGTAGCATATCCAGGTTTTTTTCAAGTATTATTATTACTCCTCATGCTGCCTTCTTTTAAGGTGTGTGTGTGTATAGTGTGTGTATATATATAGTACGTACGTGTGTGTGTGTGTGTGTGTGTGTGTATATATATATATAAAATAAATCAGAGATATGGTGGTGTCCTGTTGCCTAGGCTGGAGTGCGGTGATGTGATCATAGTGCACTGCAGCCTTGAAATCCTGGGCCCAAACGATTCTCCCACCTCAGCCTCTTGAGTAACTAGGACCACAGGCATGTGCCACCATGCCCAGCTAATTTTTAATTTTTTTGTAGAGATGGGGTCTCACTATGTTGTCCAGGCTTGTTTCAAAGTCCTGGCTTAAAAGTGATCCCCTCTCTTGGCTTCCCAAAGTGTTGGGATTACAAGAGCGAGTCACCATGACTGGCTGGTATACTCTCTGGATAGAATACTCATTGGACTGTTTCCAATTTTATATAAGTATAATTTATTAAGGAATCAGTTCTAAATACAAGCATGTTGATCAACTCTGCTTCAGGAGTTCTAAAGCACATGTTTTCCCTTTCTTAAATACCATTCTTCATCATGCAGGGTCTTTCCTCTTTTAATATCATTGATAAAAGCTGTCACTCGACTTAAAAAGAAGCTCGTTTTTCTCACTGTCCTCCTGTGAGAAACTTCTGTCTGGTACCACTACTCACATCTCTAGAGTTAAACGTTCCGTGTCTCTACTCAGCTTCTTTATTGTCTTACCCTTTATTCCTATGAACCACCCTATGACTTTCCACAATTTTTATTTTCTGCTTAGAGTCTGCTTCTCATGCTGCAGCCAAAGAACACTGCTTGCTACAGAAGAGTAAAAAACAAATAAATAAATAAATAAATAAATAAATAAATAAATGTTATAATTGGTTGGTACTGTTAACTCATTTGACTCATGCCTTAAAATAACCAAACATTTTTAACATTTTTGTCATCAAGCATTGTTTATTACAACATTATTATATTATCTTCAAATTGCCGTACATTGTTTACTGAGATATACATTTTGCTTGATTCCACATATTTTTCCTGGGTTGTGTTTATCCCCCCTTTTTCTGGCCAAATGAATTACATGCATTTAAAAAGCTTCCTATGATCTATATTTGTACCAGTGGTTCACAAACCACATCAGACTCACCTAGGTTTGGGACTCACTCATTTAAATAACACATCACTCACCACCAGGCTTATTTATGACAAAGTGAAATGCTGCTGGTTGCCTAGGTAATTTCTCTAGATCAAAGACAAAAGTCATTTAGCCTTTTCTCCAGTCTAGAAATCTGTTTGCTCTGCTAATTGAACTACCCTAATAAAATCAATAACGTCCCTTATCTTCAGTGAGGTAGGAAAGAAATCCATTCCGAAGTGGCAGAGAAGCTGCTTTTTCCTCCTGCATGCTGCCTGCTAGTCTGGATCTTGGCATAACAGACACTACTTGACAAAAGGTAAGTGTACCAAAGTAAAAACCATACTCTTGGTGAGTTCATTCATTTCTAATAAAGACTTAGGTCTCTTTTCCTGCAAATATTGTCACTAAGTGAGTGTGAAGAGGTGCCTTCTTATTTTTGGACATCATGGGAGGTGGGATTAGTGAGCAAGAGGTGAGAATGGGTGACTATCACCACTCTTGTCGCTAAGGGCTAGATTGGTTCATCTCTGCCTCTTCTATGCATGTAAATAAACGCAGTTCCCTGGGAGCGTATGTTAGGTTCAGGGCCAAAAAATTAACATACCACAACTATATATACTCTTTATTAATTTTATTTATATATATGTGTGTGTGTATATATATATCCTTTTTTATTTCTTAACATGTTAAAGGAAAGAGGATGAGAATTTACGGGAAAATAATTAAGTTGAAATGTCCTTATTTTATCTAATTCAGCCTGCTCCTATTCCTCTGTTCCCTTATCAGTAATTATCGTAACCACTTACACAATCACTCAGGTTTGGTACCAATCTATTCAACTGGTCTCTGGGCCTTCTGCCTGAAGGTCCTCTTTGCTCCCTTTCACATTGCATCCAATGTGGTCTTTACTAAGCTTGCATCTGATTTTATCTTTCCTCTGGTTTAAATCATTCAGCCGCTTCCCACAGATTGATGGTTATGGTCAGATTCCTGAGCAAAGTATGCAAACCCCTTCAAGATCTGGCATTGCCTGCTTCTCGGGGTTTATCTTCCATCCCTGTGCCATAAGCACCTTCCTCTCCACTCATATCAAAATGTTTGCCTCTTCCAGAACTTGTTGGAGTCTTTAATGTTCTAATACTATCATACATTTCTGAAAGAAGCATTCTGAAAGAAGAAAGGGTGCAACATTCCTTAAATATATTTAACTTTGGAACATTTTACAGTAGATGTTGTATGAGAAACACACTTAGGTAAATGGCACTTAACATATTATGGTATATATTGTAATGTATATCATGCCATTAAGCATCTTTCATTATTTATTTTATTTATTTTAATTTATTTTTTGAGATGGGATCTTACTCTCTCACCCAGGTTGGAGTGCCATGGTGCAATCTTGGCCCACTGCAGCCTCTGCCTCCTGGGTTCAAGCAATTCTCCTACCTCAGCCTCCTGAGTAGCTGGGAT